GGATGGATGGAAATAACTATCCAGTATGTCAGGTCAGCATGTGCTATCAGATCGTCATACGCTTAGCACAAACTCACGGCTATATCTGTCAGACACGTCATTACCGCATGATTTTATTTAATCAGCAACATAGAATCATGATGTAGATCATCATACACTTTATGAACAGCTGTATGGCATCCTGACTTAGCGGTTAAGTAGGTTAATGAGCTTTACACGGGGGTGTGCAGGGCTAGCTGCTGATGCAGCTAGACCTGCTTTAAGTACACTTTAAAACCATGACAACGCATGTATTTCTATCTAGTTATCATTGAAAACAATTTAATGACTTATTTCTGTCATAACTCGTTGCGTATGATGAACTGACAACTAACCCCTCTGACGGTCGGACTTCTTAATGCACAGGTATGGTACTGACTGTATATATATGCTATTCTTACAGCGGATGATAATCTGATAGAACAATAGCCAATACAAAGATTGTGAAAAGGACTGTAAACATCCTGAACTTTAGTAAAAGTCAAGTAATGGTCAGCTTCATATTCTTTTCTATTCCTGTTGCACTCAACCAACCCAAGCTTTCAAATTGCCAGATACTCTGACAGTGTTTTGTAAAGGCCACTTTGAAGAAAAATTCAAGCATTGGTAATACTTGTCATATCCCTTGCAACTAGCAGTATGAAGTATAGACATGTAAAATTTACTCCATTTTGTCTCCTCAGTTAAACAGGTGGAAGTAACAGTTCAGGAGGGAGTGGAGTCTGCAGTTCTGCCCTGTAAAACAGCAGCTTACATGGAGGAGGATGACACTGTGGAGTGGACCCGCTCTGAACCAGAATTCATGATTGCCTATGTGTATCAGAATGGCAGCAACAAAGCTAAAGAACAAGACAAGTTTTACTGTGAACGTACAAGAATGAATAAAGAGCAAGTAAAAAGTGGAGACCTCAGTCTGACCCTCAAAAACCCCACAGAGAGAGATAGTGGAGTCTACATCTGCACCATCTACAGGAAAAGTGACGTCGTCAGACAGAAAGTGATTCTTCATTTTGTCAAAGGTCAGTGGTCCAGATATACATGAAGCTTATCTTTGCAAGCTGGGAAACATTTCTGATGCAGTCTACAGTTTTGAATGACTGAAGAGCTATCTGCACAACATTTTGGTTTTTAAAGCACTTTATTAATAACTGATGATGATGATTAGGTAGGTTGCTGGAAAGAATATTTTATGAGCTTACAGTGGATTCAGTGTTTTTTTTATATATTCTAGTATTTTGTTTAACAATAGAAAATATCCAATCTTTTCAACATTTATTGTATATGTATCTCTAGTGAAGACAAACACATTTCTTCCTGTATTCTTATTATTAAACAATAAATTGAGTCTTCTCCATTATACAAAAGCTCAGGGGCGCGGTAAAGGGGTGAAAAGTGATGACAATTCTAGGGGCCCTGACCAGCAGGGGGCCCTCCACAATTTAATTATTTAGATTTTGTTCATAGACATAAAATAAAAAAAATGGTGGCCCTGTCAAATAAGGTTAAGGAAGAGTTAATTATGTCTTCACAGTTTTAACAAATTAGAACACTAAACATCTAAATAGAAAAACAACTCATAACATAAAATTACAAATGTAAGAATGATAAACATAATAATTCTAACAACCACCAGCTAGCAACACTTAGCGGCCTTCGTCACTTCGGGCTCCTTTTGTGACCCACATTTCATTTCCATCGGTTGTTGTCCAGTTGTGTTGTCGTCCAACTCGGATTAGGACATCACCAGCTTGAATTGACCAAAATTAGTAACTATTGTCAAAGCCCTCTAAACTTTTAAGGTAACATTATGTGAGTAAAAATGGCGAATTTGAACAGCGTCTGTTATCCTAGTGTCAAGACTTTTCTTCTTTTTATGGTGTTTTAAAAAAAAAAAATCAAAGTGTGCAATACTGCCACCATCTGGTCTGGAGTATGAACTGGAGCTAATGCCGTTGACTTATAGATTTTACATCATACATCTGAAAATGGATTGGGTAAAGCCAGCTTTCATGTTTTGTTAAACTGAAAACAACACATCATATTCAGAGAGATGTAAAGCTGAAGATATCTGCTAAATTTATTGTTAAGGACAAGTATTATTTTTGTTATAGCACCTCTGTCACTAAAGTGTCAATGTTTGATATTTTGAGGCATGAACACATTAGTTACTTTGTTAAACAACATTATATCAGGATTATCATTTTTTTTATTCTTTGCCATTTTAACAAAAGTAGTAAAAGATCATTAAAGCACCTAAAAAGGCATACTTCATTAGCCTAAAGTATACACTGAGATGTAATTTAAAACATACTGAAATTAATAATTTAAAGTGTTAAGTGAATTTCAAAAAAATCTATTTTGAACATATATTTTAAAATATACACAAAATATCTGACAGATATTTTAAATATCTTTTAAATATACACCTGAGCAAGTGTGTATTTACACTTCGGCAAATACATATTTTGTTCACTTAAAGTATAGTTTTATTTAATATATTTCTTAAAAGTGTACTTTTAGTATACTTCATATATATTTATAGGTACTACACGTAATACTTAGTATACTTAAAATGTACTTTCACAAATGTAAGTATGTTTAAAATATACTTTTTTTCACCTGGGTAATGAGGGCTGGTCTGTAGTGAGACATATTAAGTCTAATGCAGAACTCATCAGATTGTTATTGTACCTTGATGTTTCATGGCCAATAGTCAGATTTTAACACAAACCACGCCCACATGCTTTGATGTGCAAAAAATTGTTTGATAAATTTTTACCTTCAGTGCCTCAAGACTGTGCTGAGTGATTGTGACATTTGTGTCTCAAAAGCTGTAGGACACGTTTGCTGAGATACGTCAATAAAAAAAGACAAGGTGGTGGCTTTGACTCAAAATGGCCGACTTCCTGTTGGGTTTGGACCATGGCTCCAAGAATTGTTTTTGTAGGTTCTGACAAGATACATGTGTACCAAGTTTCATAATTCTGGGTTAAAGCATGGCTTAGGGCTGATCATTTAAAAATTCCTAGGAGGCGCTGTAGAGGAATTAGGCCACGCCCACCAATGATTGTTGCATATTACTGGGCCGGATAAACATCGATCCCAGTGAGTTTGGTGCACTTCAACTTGAAACTGTGGAATTTAGATCCAAACTGTGGCAGTGCCGTTAAA